CCCCAAAACCCCAAAACCCCAAAACCCCAAAACCCCAAAACCCCATTTAAATGCGTGTCTGCTGAAAACAGTAAAAATATCCAATGATTTTAATCTGTGACGTGTTCTCCCAAGAAGGAATTAGGACCTTAGTCGAAGCAGGCTATGAAGTGGTCTATAACAAAGACCTCTCCGGTGAATCTCTGGTTGAGGAAGTGAAGAACCTTCAACCAGAGGTTCTTGTAGTCAGATCAACCAAAGTGACACAGAGCGTCATAGATGCCAATTCTAATTTGAAGGTGATCATTCGGGCGGGAGCCGGAACTGACACCATCGATGTTGCTTACGCATCTGAGAAAGACATCTGTGTTGCTAACTGCCCAGGCAAGAACGCTACAGCTGTTGCTGAGCTTGCTATGGGTCTCATCATTAACATTGATAGAAGACTTGCTGAGAACTATCTTCTTCAAAAGGAAGGAAAATGGAGGAAAGGAATGTTTGCTAAATGCCAAGGACTCAAAGGAAGAACTCTTGGTCTCATAGGATTTGGGAATATCTCACAAAAAGTTGCTCAGAGGGCCCTTGCCTTCGAAATGAAGGTCATTACCTACGATGTCGTTCAGAAGGATACTGAAGGGATTGAGTTTGCTTCCTCAATCGATGAAGTTTTGGAGGTCGCCGATATTGTATCTCTCCATGTCCCAAATCTTCCAACGACCAAAGGAATGGTAAATGCTGAGTTCCTCGCTAAGATGAAAGAGAACGCAGTCTTAATTAACACTGCTAGAGGTGAAATCATTAATGAAGAAGATCTTGCTCTCCATCTTGAAACTAACAATAATTTTTGGTATGGAACAGATGTTCTCAAAGGAGAACCAAGTTCAAAAGAATGTGACTGGGAGCATCCACTTTCCCTTCATCCCAGAGTCTATGGCTCTCATCACATTGGGGCTTCTACAAAGCAAGCTGAGGCTGAGATTGGAGAGGAGGTAGTTAGGATCAGTAGAAAGTACATGGAAACTGGAGAAATCGATGACGTGAATCTTGTGAATAAAGCTCTCCTTGAAAAATCTATAACTCTCGTCATAAGAGCCAAAAAGGGTGCTAGATCCCTTGCTGACATCTACACCACTCTTGAATCTAACGAATGGGAGGTGACCCAGACAGAGTCAGTCCCTTGCAAGAGCTCTGACTCCTTCCTACTGAAGATTGTTGGGGATGGACCAAGAACCATCGAGTCTAAGTTGTCCACCATGACTTCGGTTGAGGAAGTAACCATCGAGTAAAAATATCCGAAAACTTAAATTCGATATAACCACCAACCAATTAGAATTCTATTTTTGGTTCAAAAAGGGGTTTTGGGGTTTTGGGGTTTTGGGGTTTTGGGGTTTTGGGG